TCAACATTAAAAACCCCCCCACCGGAGCCACAACCCCCTTTCCGCTGACATCCTACACAGCCTACTTTTTTTACCTTACCCAGATCCCCTAACCATCCCATGCCCCAAAAAAAATTTTCACACTCCCCTCAACTCCCTCCCAGAAAACATGATTTAAAATTTTTTGGTACCTTAACCAACCCCCCCTCACTCACACCCCCCCCTCATCACCCCCTTTTAAAGAAAATAAATTTTTCCCTCCTCTTTAAGTTCATTAAACCCAACCCCCCCCGACGCACAGGGAACTTTCACATCCCTTCTAAGCCAATCACAAAATGAACCCCACAAAAATTTAAAAACCCCCCTAAGTATAGTTTCATGCAAAAAAAAGCTGTGACTAGGGGCACCCCCGTCTAAGACCTCGCCCATTTCAATCCTCCCCCCAAAAACTTCATTAATCGTACTCTCCCCATTTTCCCCTCTTAAACGCCTCTACCCATCCACTATTTCTTCCCCCTAGCCCTGTTTCCTAAGATAGCCTCAACGCCTCTCGCTCCACAACCCTATCATAAAGCTCCTTGCCAGTCTAGTGCAAACCAAAAACCCCCCCCCCTTCCCCCGCCCTTTTTTCTTCCAACGAAATCCCTTAAAAGACCATGTCCCACCCCCATATAGACACTACCTGGCAACCCAAACTTTGTTTCCGATACAACCCTCCCTACAAACACACTGATCCTATTTCCTAAAATTTTCGCAAATAACTTTATAATCCGAGCATAACAACGATATTGTCTATAGTCCCTGAGCGAACGCTGTTCCTTACCCTTAGGTACCAAAACAACTACAGCTGTTGCCTGTCTTTCACCCAACCTTCCCCTTACCTTCATCAAGTTTAGTAACCTCAAAACCAAAAAACCTTTTATTAACTCCCCAATGCTTGATAAAACTTCCGCCGGCAGTCCATCGATTCCCGGTGCTTTTGATCTTGGGATATGAAATAGACAGGCTGCTCCACTCAACATCTCATGTAACTAAAAAATCAACACAGCCAAAGCCGTCCTTAGCAGACTCTTTCGATTCAAATCAAGCGCACTGCAACATGTTCAAAAAACATCTGTATAAAAAATGATAATAAGACCTTATACTTGAATACCCTGTGTCCCAATATCATTAACAACAAAGACAACATGCTACGGTTTACAAAGGGCAGAATAGAGCTCTTTCGATTATACCAATACCAGGAGGAGAGAAAGAGTTTAAAATTGCAGGATATACACACACAACAAGATATCACGCCATAAAATGACGCCTTGACACCCAAAAAAAGAAACAACTTTATAAGATGCAAGAACTATAATGCCAGATAGAGAACCATCCTATATCAAGTGATAAATACCACCGATACACCATCAATACTCCACCTCACAGGACTCAAAGGAATGACTCTCACTCTCCCACAGCGGGTTCGTCGTTTTTATTCATAAAGAAGATTACCCTCGAAACCCTGATTTTGAGCAATTAACCTGCGAAGAAAGATTGGATACTACCAGAACCCTTCTATGTATACTGAAAAAACCATCGCCCCCTATTAGGGAGACATCTAAAATAACTTTCTAATGTAAAATTAAGCTATTGACTATTGTTTGGACACCTTCCATTAAGAAGCTAATTGTCCACGAGCTCATAAACTGGCCAAATATTGCCTTCCCTGTCGTATGAATAACCGTTGTGCAATCGCGAAAAAAAAAAAAAAAAAAAAAAAAAGCAATTGCAACTTTAATAATTACAAACCAATTCAAGTCATGTACTTATTACCTATTAAATATTATGTGACTCTGATGGGTTAGTATTACAATACCTCTTAAAAAAAATAATCTAATCAATTCAAATACACTTTTTTAAATTACACTAAAGTGGTTGGGCCACTTACCTTTATATCCTACCCTCTCCCCCCCCCCTTTCAACCCTCTTCCAATATTTCCATCCTTACCCATCCTTCTTCCTTCCCACTTACCCAAAGCTCTGGTCATTAAAGCGAAGAAGCGAAGCTTTGCCCTTTCGCATGGCACTCAAAGCTCTCCATATTTTCCCCCTCAGTTAGTCCCCCCCCAAAGCTGCCCTAATCCATTCACTGTTGTCCTAACCTACATGGCACACTTCCAACACACCCTCTCTAAATCCCCTAATCCTACCCCTTCCTCCCGCCCAATACTTTTCGTACCACTTATCCCGCAAACACCCCATCCCATCCGAGTGTGGATAACCTGACCCGCCCTATAATACCCCTCCCACCGACTCAAGACCCCAACATGGAATAGCTGTTGCCTGCTGACGTTGTTTTTGTCTGCGCAACACACACAGGGACGGCTCTATCTCCCCATAACACCTCCTCCACCCCCGCCAATAACTCTCAACCGATTGGAACGCGCTCGTCCTGAATATTCCGCAAACCGCCTCTTTAAAGTAATCATAATGTTGTCCATCGGATAGACACCCCTACTGTCCCTTTTACTATAACAACCCCGTAAAACCTTCCTCCAAATAATTAATCAACCCAAATTTAAAGAATTTCAATCCTTTTCCCTCCCTCACATAATAATTGCCAATCCGGTCCTTATCCACACCATCCCACCACGTCCTCACACGACCTTGTACCTCCTCAGTTAATCTCTCCCACAGCTCCGTAAAACCCCCAACCCCTCCTCATCTTCCAACGAGAGTCTCGTATTTAATTCCAATATCCCCTAGAGATACTAAGCTAGAGAATCCCCCGCTCTACTTCTGCGACAAACCGCACCTAATGAATCTGAAAAAGCTAGTTCAATATAGTATGGACAGTCCTTTGGAGACAATTACCTTAGAGTTATATACAACCTGTCTAACCTAGCTGCGTTAACCTCGCCCTCACGAAAGTAGCTCCACTCTCCCACGCTCCGCCGCCACTACCCACAATCCCTCACTAACGTCCACCAAAAGATTGGCGTAATGCTGTCATCAACATATGCCCCCCGCCCCTCGTGTTCCACATCCGCTCTCGCCTGATCACACAATTCCAGTCCCCACCTACGATGGCCACTTCAGGTAAACCACGAAAGCAAAAACTAGATCATCACACACAAAATCCCTCTTTACTTTCATATCATTTTCAGCTGGTGCATGACACACTTACAAGGTTTACCCTCTGCCCCATCCACCACCCATCCACACGCAAACAACAACCCTCCCCCCCACCCCTTCACGTCTTTGCAACACAAACGGCCGCCTCCTTTACAATAAAACCAACATCCACCTTTCAAACGTGCTCGATGGGCAGAGTCAACACTTATACCCTTCCACCTCGACACTTCTACCTCCTCCCCCTGAAATTATGCTCCTGTAGAAAGTCTACGTCACCCTACGTCCACTCTGTATCGACTAAGATCATACGAAAGCATTCCCTTTCACACCCATACACAGTCCATTCAGAATTCACAGTCATGCACTTAAGGCCTTTCTATGCTTCCAACCCTTTCTCTCCTTCAACCTTCCAGGGCCTCTTGCCCCAGGGTCAACATGTGGTTTGGTCACCATCCACACCCCCCCCCCCTTTCGATGCCTCTTATATCCGGCTGTCACGAGAATATGCATCCTTCCTCCCAACCTCTGCGCGGGCGTCAGGACACATCTAGCTGACGCAGCCGCCCTCTTCCTCGTGACAACCCCTCTTCCGCCATACTGTCTTTCCGAAGATTCCTTAACACAGTGAACACAACCTCTACTGTGACCTGTCGCAGCACAGAGCTCGGTGACTCCTCTCTGTGCCTGCAGTTGTCCTCCTTCCTTTCTCGTGCCTGTCCCGCCACACTCTCCTTTCAACTCAGGCACAATTCACGGGACCAAGCCATTATCCTCGCCCGAAGAAGGTAAAGTTTTCAATACCTCGTCGAGCACCTCCTCCAGCTCTTGCAACCTCCTGCTGATTTAGCACTTCCTCCCCCGTCACCCGGCAAAGTGGCCATGTTCGGCTCCACACAACTCGTTGCCTCGCCCATCGTGCACCAACAAGAAAACTCTTATTACAATTTCACTCCACAGACGTGCCATCTCCAGCTCGGTTTCCTTTGAATTCTCCTCAACGACATCCAACACCTGTGACTGGTGCTCCACCTGTTTGCACAGGCGCCCTCCACTGCCTCCCTCACGGTCGCCGGCCGCCATATGATCTACTCCCCACTCAACCTGCATGTCGTCGCGCCCAGGCATACGCCACTTAGAATTTGGGTCTCTAAAAACCGGCATCACGACGTATGACGGGATCCTGGGTGCCTCAGTGTCATTTTGAGGAGATGTACCCTCTACCCTCCGGAAGTCCCCATGTACGCACCTGCCGCCCACTTCCTTTATGGGTTGCAAATGCACGGAACCATAAGAGCTGCAAACAACCTTCCGTAAGTCCTCCTCGTCAGCCTCGAAAGAGACATTTCGCAATTCACCCACGTAAAGTGGCGAAGACTCTATAGTCGCACTTTGACACCGGAGTTACAAGCAATACTACCACATGCTCAAATTTCGTCACTAACGACTCGTACACACAGCCGTCGAATTTACGTGACTAATAGACGATAGGCCCCATTCAGGGCCACACCATAAACCCTCATCATCCTGCACTCCGTACGTTCCCTGATGATTGTCGACAGTAACACCTGCGCCGTAGAGGGGAAATCGACCCCACGAACAGCGCAACGCCGACAGTGTTTTTACCCTACGTCGGATACCGTCAGCGCCATATTGTTGCTATAGAGCTCTCCTGACAAACGAAGATTCGATACTGTGTTCTTTTATTTATTAATTATTGTATTGTCCCTTCTATAAAATATAAAAAAAAAATCTCAAGTCTGATAGTGCAATGTTTCCCTTTTGGATTGGTGTTCTCTAATATAAAAAAATGACGATAAAGAAATAAAAAAAAAATCAAATTGAAAACATTCCCTTTGTTTAGATATCCATACCTACCTCAAAAAATTTTGAAATTGGAACTTTATAAGGGATTAGCGCGAACGCAGTCCCCTGCTTAAATCAAAAATTTTCCGCACTCGAGTTAACCACATTTGGGTTAATCCTCAGGGTCAGTGCCACCAACCGGAGTGCAATGGTGACCTCGCCCTGGGAAAACCGCCTTCGTGATCACGGTATCTCCTGTGCCAGGTAAGTATGGCTTATCGACTCTTGCTGCTAACCCTACCACATAATACTGAACACAACTGTTGTCTTCAGAAATATTTATGTAAATATTTTTAAATGTATGTTTTAAAAATTATAAATTTTAAAATTTTAACTTACTTTATTATAGTAAATATTTATTACAAATTAATATTCAATATATTTAAGATAAATGGAATTTTAAAGCAAATTTTCTTCGTGTATTACCACGTTTCTCTCGCACAGTGCAGTGAAATTACTTTTTTGTTTTAAATGTTCATAGTGTCATATAGCTGCATCTTAAATTGATATATCGGTGATCATACTGATTATTGTTTTTGTCAGGAGGAATAAGAAAATTTCTGTTGACAAAGGACATAATCGTATGACAGAGGCCCTGAAGCTTTTGATCATTTAACCAAATAGTAAGTAAGTACGTAAGCAAGTAAGTTTATTCAGGTATACACAAATACAGTTACATAGATTATCATACATAGCAGCATATGTGTAGAGAACCTAGGATAACCCAAAAAAGTCAAAGTGACTTATTTAGAAATGTATCCTCAGCGTTATGGAAAGGTTTACCGTACATTTCTACTGTTTTCTTCTCGAGGCTAACTTGACCAAAAGTAGAGTTTCTTTCCTGGCATTTATCTAATACTTATATATTTCATTCCTTGTGCTATTTTCTTTTCACCCGTCATATTATCATTCTTTGGTGCCTTAACTAAATTTTTCAGCTGCTTCTAACTCTTACCTAATTCTAGATACAGTCTACTTACTAAGCACTGATTCTACCACATTTTTATCCACATTATTGTCCCAGTGATGGATCGTTTTTTCTTTAACTCTTAACTCTTTCTGTTACAAGATTTTCCTTATATAGTATTTTAGGTCTTGTTTTCCAAATATTGACTACATTAATGGCTGCAGCCTCACTTTTTGTTGTACTCACATAATTGTGGTTGCAGGGGTCGAGACTCAGCTCCCGGCCCCACCTCTTCACTGATAGCTGCTAGGTCCTCTCTCTGTATGCTCCCTTAAATTTGTCATACCTCTGCCTCCACTACATCACTTGCTAGACTCTTCCACTTCTTGACAACTCCAGGCGACCTAGCTGCCAGGGAGTGTGGACGTGCCTCATACCTCTCTGCTGACAGTCTAGCAAGCTATCCAGTGACGTCATGGTATTCAGCGTGAGGAGGCGGGTGAATACCGTTGGTATACAGCTTGTTCGGGGGGCGATTACGCCTGAGAATGAACAAGTTTTGCTACCTAAGATTATCCGTGACACTTATGGTATTGCGGACAAGGATTTGTACGGTGTGGCATTAAATGGCGCATACCGGATATTTGTAAAACTACTCTACGAGCCAGTTGTACGAGGCAGCTGTTGAGCATTCCAGGGGGAGGGAAGATCTCTTCGTAGATGTGTCCCCTGACGTGCATGTGCGTATGTGGGATGTCTCTCGACAATAAACGTAGGTGAAACTGGCGCAATGTGCCCTTACGAGGCCGATGCAATCGGATCTCCGCATGTTTTCCAGAAGATACGGAGTGATACACAAGGCTAAACAAAGGCATGCGGGTGGCTGGGGCGTATGTTGGTTCCCTCCAACGGTTCGTTTTACCCTTAAGATGTCCTCTAACGCCAGGCCATACCATCGTATGTGTACCTTGATGACTTCCGCACACAGGTCATGGTGTCTATGCTGTCAACGACGGACGTGTCGCCTCTGCGGTGAATATATCAATGGCAGCAGAGTGTGGGCAGCGCGGCAGGCCAGAAGGCCAGCCGGGGATCAAACGAATGACGAGCTGGGCAGGAGGCTCCCATACGTGGAACGAAAAGGAGATGGTGGCCACGTCGGCTTTGAGTGAGGAGATTGAGAGCCAGTGGTGGTGTCGAATCTGGAGCTGTCGTCTCTCGAGTCACCTGCATCGCCGGTGTACAGCAGGCTTCCGGGGAAGACAAGGTGACGTGTGGAAGTGGAGGACTTGGAATGCGACAATAGCGTCTGTTTTGCCATACCATGTTCTCATCTACGGATGTGGTCTCCCCGGCTGTGACGTACGGCCATCCGGATATCGTGTCTGTGGCGGTCGAGCACAGAAGGAGGAGGTTGTTGGTGCTGGTGGGAGCTGGGGGGACGTGGGACCCCTCGTCAAGAATGCAGGGACGAAGGTAGTGGTGGAGGTACATCGTGGTGACGATCCGTCCACAGAACATGGAGGAGGATGCTGGGACGAGGAAGAGGGCTGCAGCGAAATGTCGGACTCTGACGACGTCCTGAACGAGCCGGCTACGAACAGGAATGAAAGCATCGTAGATGGGGGGGGGCGTGGTGCTAGTGGAGGAGAGCAGCGAACAGCAGGTGGTGCCAGGTGGCACGGGTTCGTGCGTGGAGAGTCATGGCAAACGTGGCCCCCAGGGCCCAAGTGGGCATGCAAAGTACAAGTGGGGCAGCGCGGGAGGAAACCTTAGCCAGGTGTGAGGGGGTGTTAGACAGGGCGGGAATAGTCTGGAAGGAGTGATTGAGGTCTGCGCTTGATGGCAGCGACGGTTAATGGCTGTTGGTGTCCAGGGGCACCAGATAGCGTGCTCCTTGAGAGAGGGGCAATTGCCCAGTGTTTTAGGATAAAGTGGCTTGATATGTGCTGTTCAGATGTGTCTGCAAATTGGAATGTGAATAGTGTTAGGTTCTGGTTATAGGTGATGCTGCCCTGCGCCTGAGTGGCGCCTAAGGTACGCTGGTGCGTTGAGGTGGCGTATGCTGCTGCTGGTGTATATGATTATTATTTTATTATAATCAAAAAGAAGCGCTAAGGCCACAAGGACTTACAGCGCTGCAAGGGCAGGAAGGAAGCGAGGCATCAGGTGGCAAAAGGGAGATGGATGAGCAACAGGTTACGGATAACAGCCGGGGCAGTGGTTGGTGAAAGGGTAGAAGGGCAGCAAGAGACTGAACCCAGAAAGGGCTTAGGGGAGTGCGAAAAGTATCATCAGAGTTTTGTGGAGTAAATCAGTCGTTGTCAAGAATCAATGAGAGAGTCAAGGATTAAAGGAGGGTCCATCAGCAAGAAGGGAAGGTAAAGAGAGAGTAGGGAACGAAGACTACGTGAGGTAAATCTGCGTGCTCGTTGATAGAGAGGGCAGTCTAACAGAATTGGCTAATCGATACTGAACTTAGACACTGCCACAAGAGAACAGGTGCCCTCTCCGATGAGATACCCATGAGTAAGACGAGTGTCGCAATGCGAAGCGGAGAGAGTGGTCTCCCAACCTAGGCACTGGATGACAAAGAAGACGCCAGTAACCTATGCTGCTCGGTTAATAGAATGAAGTTTGTTTTACCGAGCAGAGTTGACCAACGTTGTTGCCAACGGTTGCGAAGGTGGGTAGCTATTGCAGCAAAATAGTCCAGAAATGGAAACACCATCGATAGGAAATTGTAGGTCATATACTGCTGACCGCGCAGCAGTGTCTGCCTGTTCATTGCCCTGTAACGGTCGACATGACCAGGGACCCAACAAAAAACAATATCTTTATGTTTGGGTAAGATACGCGTAGCAAAGTTGATACGGAGAACTAGGGGAATAGATTGTATCAAATTTTTTCCGTATAGCCTGTAAGCACTAAGGGAGTCTGAGACTACTACAAATGATGACCCAGGCCTAGATGCGATACGAATAAGTGCTGCAAGAATGGCATACAGTTCAGCAGTAAAAATGCTAGCTGAAGATATAAAATGCCCTCGTACGACGCTGTCCGAAACACTGTGCTGCGAATCCGACGCCGTCTGAAAGACTTAGAGCGCCATCTGTGTAACATACAGCGTGGCATGAGAATGAGAGTGGACGTGATCAAGAAAAAGAGAGCGGGAAGCCAACCGTAGGCAGATGAGCTTTCTAGCAAGGATTGAGAAAGAACAGATCCCGAACAGCTGAACTTCCCAGGGTGGTAGGGAAAAGTGAGATGCTACTTGAACATTAAAAGGGTAACTGAAGGAAGACAAAGATGAAAGTAGGAGAAGAGAAAAGGGACGGAGCAAACAGGCGGCGAACGAATAAAGATATGTCTACTAATATCGTGACCCATTCTATAAATGGAAGGATTGTGGTAGATCGTGAGAGCGTACATAGTAACGAAGGCAATTGGGCATCACGGCGATCGGCAGACAAGGATGGAACATTTGCTCTGTAAGAGGCTCTCAACAGTGGAAGAGCGAAAAGCACCAAGGCACAAAACGTAAGCCTTGGTGATGGATAGAGAAGGCAGAGAGAGTAGCAGGAGAGGCCGCGGAAATAAACTGGTCACCATAATCGAGTTTTTCGATAAAACGAGGGCTGAATGTTAGGGGCGAAGCAAGTTCGACGATCAGCTCCCCAGGAAATATGAGCAAGGTTTTAAGAATGTTTTATAGCCGGCTGTGACAAGTTGCCTTCAGAGAGGTAATGTGAGGTTTCCAGGTTAACCGACGGTCAAAGAGAAGGCCTAGAAACCTGAACTGTATCACGTTCGGGATACGGAGCCATAGAGAACAAAGGATGATCGGAGATAAAGAGCGTCTAGTGAAGTAATTTGTGAGGTTTTGTACTTGAAAATTAAACCCATGTGTGGTGGCCCAGTGGAAACACGGTCGAACCGCATGCTGGAGAGAAACTGCAATAAAGGTGACAGTCAGAGCGCCTGCACAAGCAATAGCGAATTCCATCAACATTCAGATTGATGACCAAATATTGGTGAAGAACAGAGGCCAAATCATTTATAGTCAAGGGAAAAAGTGTTGTGCTTAGAACACATCCCTGAGGGACACCTTCAGCTTGGACGAAGTCCGGGGAAAGAACTTACTTACTCGAACACTGGAAATGTCTGTCAGTTAAAAAGTTCCTATAAGGAAGGATGGTAGATTGCACTCGAGGAGGGAGGGGCCTAAGGAATGGGCCTGGGCCAAAATATTATACCCCAAGTTGTGTCATATGCTTCTCAAGGTCAAAAAATATGGCAATAACT